ATTACGCACCGCTGACTGGACGAGACATCTGTCAATCAACGTATACAGGGACGAACCAGCCGAAGAACAGCAGAGTCGTGGTAGAAAGTTCGGAGATGGTATTAAAGTAGCTCAGTTTAAATGTATTGTATGAATTGCCCTTGCTATGGAATAAAAAATACGGGATGTCTATTTACAATTAGTTAAAAGTGGCTGTAAATCATCAGTTCCAGTGGCGCAGCTCGATAAGCGAGTGTCGTTGGCTTTTTGATGCAATCCCGCCTTTTGCCGAACCTTTTTTTCCTCCCTTTTCAAATCTCGTATTAGCAATAGATTATATTTACACTAAGTGAAAATAGCAGTATTTTTAGCCATATGCTATTCACACTAAGTGCAAATACCTATTTACACTGTTAAAATAGCAGGATTTCTACTATTATCTGCAATTATCTGCACTTCTGTATTGTAGTACATTATAAATCAGTATGCAATAATAACGTATTGAGTATAAATGATCATTTTAATTATTAAATGGATGTCACCTTATTGGTACAATAAAGCCCTCCCTACACCTACCCTAACCCTACCCGATACTTTATTTTCAACTTTTTGATTATTTCCTTAATGTTTATTGAAAATAAATGCCTTTACGATGTGATACGAGATTTGAAAAGGGAGGAAAAAAAAGTTCGGCAAAAGGCAGGATCGAACCCGGGTCGATCGCGTCAAAAAGCCAACAACAGGCATTTATCCAACTGCACCACTGGAGCTGATGATTTCCTGCCACTTTTAACTAAATGTAAATATATACTCCATATTTTTTATTCCATAGCAAGGGCAATTCATACAATATATTTAAACTGAGCTACTTTAATACCATCTCCGAACTTTCTACCACGACTCTGCTGTTCTTCGGCTGGTTCTTCCTGTATACGTTGATTGACAGATGTCTCGTCCAGTCAGCGGTGAGTAATCCCAAACCAATGGCGCTGTCTCAAACTATACCTACCTTTTCCGGTTTGTCTGATTTGTCGTTGTGTTTTCTGACTTGTTATTTTGTTTTCGAATTTGTCATTGTGTTTTCTGACTTGTTATAATGTTTTCTGAATTGTTGTTGTGCTTTCTGAATTGTTATTTTGTTTTTTAGACTTGCATTTGCGTTTGTAATTTGTTCTTTTGTTTTCAGAATTGTGATTTGCTTTGCACTTCTCGGCCACCGTAGTTGTCCCTCTATATGTAACACAAATGTCTTAATAAAATATTTTGCTTTATAATCAGAGCTGTGTAGTTTTTACTGTGGGGGCAAAACTACAATTGATTGAAATATAAATAAACGTTCCTCAAAAGCCTGATAAAACGTTATTTTATATTCACATTTAACATGATTTTTTAAATAATTATACTAAAAGGCCTTTTACCTGCTAAAAAAGTGTAAACTAACAATCAGATGACAGAAGGTATGATGCATGCAACATGTTTTCAGCAAAGTTTTGATCATGTTGATAATTTAGAGGACATAGAAATTTGATACAGTAAATAAATAACGATACAATATGATACAGGCATTATAGGGTTACACACCATTAACTAACCAACACAGTGATCCTGAAGAGTTAGAACCTGAAATCCTAGCCTAGACCTTTAACCATAGACTGCACATCAAGCGTCAGTTAGGGTCTAGTTGGAGATATCTATTTGACTGCAAAAAAGATATATATAATAATTTGTGCATTAATCCTTGAGGACTATTATTCTGTTTCTTAGAAGAAATATAAGCTATTTCATATTTTGAATTGTATTTATTACATTGATAATACCTTTCATGTTAATTATAATTTAATATAATTTCACTTGTATATACTAAAAATAACTTAATTGTGTTGCTTTTAAACAGCAATGTTGAAAAGAGAAAAATGTCAAATAATGTCCTATAACCCATATGTAGCACTCTTTAACCACAATGTGGCAGTATAACTCTATTGTGTTGTGTGCCATTTTTGCCTGTTGACTATTATGCATTTCAAATACTACCATTTTGTTGTCAATTTATAATGAACATTGCATGACAGAGAGCTACATTTCCCCCAAAACAGCATTAGACTATGTGTTTTACTTGTAAAAATAACTTGTCAAAGCAGTCCACATCCAGTAAAGGAAACGCTGTAATATTCTATTGTTGAAATGATGGAGTAACACAGTTTTTAACGTATGGCTAATGTAGGAAGAATCAAATACAACAGTAAATCATGCTAAATACATTAGTTTTGTATTAGTCTAGAGGTGTTTTTTTGTGTGTTTGTTTGTTTTTTATTTACTGTTAAATCATTATAAAAGATTAAACCTAATCTAAAGTGACATCTTGTAAAAATGTGGATGTACGTTGGAAAGGGAGTATTAAAGTATAATTTGTTTATGGTTGCCTGATAAGCACATCATGTCTTGAATAAATTATTGACTGCACTAATATAAATGATTGCTGTGTAAATATGTCTTAACTGATATACCAAATCTAATCTTATCATTTTTATTAATTTTCTATTCTATTGATATTCTGTTTATATATCTAAGCTATTATAACTATATATATATTATATTACATATATATATGTATTACATATATATATATATGTTTTTATATATATATATATGTTTTTTAGCATGTGTGTTTGCCAGTGTTATTTTTTAGGATTACTGAAACTACTGTCACTTGATTTTTATTATTTGTATTTGTTATTTATTTTAATTTTAAGTTACATTATGTCTGAATTTATTATGTCTGTGTAGGTCTTTTATTAAGTTTTTTAGTTTTATTTTAATTTATTTAATTTTATTTAAGTTATTTTAATACTTCAACAAACTAAATGGAAATAATATATATATTGAATTTATTAATGTGTATGTACATATACAGTATATATTTATGTGTGTGTGGTTGTACATACACATATATGTAGTTGGTTTTTTGGTGTTTGGCTTGGTGTTAGAATCATTATTATACTCATATACCTTTTGTTCTTTAATATTTTGAATTGTTTTTAGCTTTATTTTTTTTGTTTTTCATTTAAATGTTAAGTTTTGAAATTTTGTTGTATGCATTTGTCATTTTTATTTAATCTCTTTATTTTTAAAATGTGTATAAGTAGTATTTATAAAGTTTTAGCTTTTAGTTTTGGATCTGTTTTTAGTTGTTTTAATACTACAATTGATTGCTTCTGTTGTCCTCATTTGTAAGTCGCTTTGGATAAAAACGTCTAATAAATGACTAAATAAATACATAAATATATATATATATATATATATATATATATATATATATATATATATTCAGTGTGCAAGTAGTTTTAGTAATGAGTCATGGAGCTGACAAATATTTGGAAGAGCATCATTCTTACAGTTATTTGAGACATCAATGTTGTGATATATCTGAAATAATATGCATATACACATTTCAGAATTTAAAATCGAAATATTTATTTCAAAATAAAAGATTTCCACACAGACACATGAATTTGGCCTAAAGCTCAATACACATCCGCAAAACAGCCATGAATGTTTTTAAAATTGACTCAAATCTCAAACTTGGCAAATAATTTTCAACCTAGTACATAATCATTACAAAATTTGATCTGGTGAAATGAGACAATGGGTCATCCACTCATACTAACGCAAGATAATGAATGCACCTTTAACCAAAACATCAGTTTTGACATTTGAAATTAATATAGAGTGATTTTTTTCAAGTGAAAGTAAACCCCCACAAACCCTAATTTTTTATGGCCAAATTAGCATCCTAACATACACATTTAAATATATTATTTTTACATAAAGTGCAGTTTGATAACCAGAACTACAGAAGAAGCACTGATGAACTATGAGCAGGAAGTATTGTATTTAAAACTGTACATACAGTGCATGCAAGTACGCACATGCTTATTTTGCTTCTTGTTTCCTCTACACCGTTTATAACCCCATTTATGAAATATTTTATGTATTTTACAATGCAAGTATTCTTGATGTCTTACATTGTCATTACTGTCATCAGTTGGACAAAGCAACGCTGTCGATCAAAGTTAAATGACAGATTTAGGTTCACAGACCAAAATTAGGATGAATAAATCTGCATCTTTGATTACGTGCGGAAATTAGAGATGAATGAATAACTGGTGCATTCAGTCATCTTGTGACTGACTCAAAGAAACACAGAAACACCACATTGTAACAATGAGATATCCAACATACGCCAAACACTGTGCACAGCAAAATACGACTATCCAAAAATACCACTTTGGAAATGTTTTTTATTATCATTATATTAAATTTAAATGTATTACCAAAGGAACAACACTGCCTTACGTATTGCCGTTTTTGTAGGTTGTTTTCTGTCTTTCAACAGTTAAAGCAATAAAGAGAGAGAGAGAGAGATGGAGGGAGAGAGAGAAAGAGAGAGAGAGAATGCACACCGATAAGCAGGACTTGTGCAGAAAGCTGTACAGATGGCTTGCTCAAATTACACAGGTTTCAAAGACCAACAGAGAACAGTTTACAGCACGCAGTCCTTAAACGTTTTCCTGTTTTTTTTTGGTATTAAATTGGTTTTCGCAACTAGAATCTCTCATACTCCATTTAATAAACACTGAAATGATCTCCTAGATCCTTAAAAGTTGCTGACATAAATAAAGCAACAAAGTCCTTCAAACAGAAGCCACATTTGTTTCGTTTTGTTTCAGTTTGCTGCATCCTGTACAACAAAATACTCACATTCACCCTCAGTTATTATCTGACTGTGGCAACAGTGACCTTGAGATCTCTCTGAAGTTCAGTCTTCTTTTCCCAGGAATGTTTTTCAAGAAATATTGCAATGTGTATCTTTTCTTCAGTGTCTGATCAGTGTCAGTGTCAGTGTCACACCACACTCACCTTTTGCATCAGACGTTCAAAATCATTTTGCGTTCCCTGTTTTAATCCATCACTGTAAAGAATGGCGTTTTATTTGATTGTAAGGTTGCTGACAAAGAGCATCTGTTCCCAAGTGCGGCAAAAAAAGCCAACCAGTGTTTCAGGGAGAAGTGCTCCTATGGCTGATATATGATTCCGTTTAAACTGTACCCGGAAAAAAGGGCCAATCAAGACATAAAAGTACATATTATAAAAGTAATCATTTTTTAATTATTATTATTTGAAAACCACAGTGTGCGCCAATACAAAAGCGGTATTGCCATGTCAGGGTTAGAGGCAGAGCCTAATATGGCTAGAGTTTCCCTCGTGTACACCGTTATATTGTGTTCTCTGTGCAAATGCTTCTAGTAATGCTTGTATGGCTCACTGACACAGACAAAAATCCCTGACAGTAGATTCGCTGATGCTAGAAAGTGTTTTTGTTTGTTTGTTTGTTTGTTTGCTTTACATAACAAAAGCTACGTAAATTTGGCAAATGATCTTAGTGCTTGTGCCGCATATACAAAATATCAACAAAGGTCAGCATTTTATTATACAAGACGGTTCTTTCGACACTCAGCAGTGAGGCTCATCCAGTGAACCCGAAATATTATAAACAGCAGGACACAAAATACAAAGGGACACATATCACACGTCACAAATACAAAGATGTTTTGAGGGCAGCTATCTACCGTAGTGTCCAATGTCTTATTTTGTACCTATCAAGAATTCGATTTTGCAAGCAATTCCAATCTCTTATTAGTCAGGCAGCCAGCAGGAAATATTGTGCTCTTCTGTACAGGCAGCCGACGACTGCAAGTTGCTCTGAGTCTTGCTAAAGATGAAATCTTGACTCCCGCTTTTTTCATCTTCATTCCAGAAACTCACCACTATTTGTAGCTGAAACAGCGATTGGAATTTGCACATACGTTTAAACAAGACAACAAAAACTCTCTTCTGAAACGTTTAAATAAAATGAGCAAATTAGCCCTTGAGGGTTCTCAGCTTTGTTGAGGTGAAGTCCTCACTCAAATCCCAGCTGAGGGTGCTCTGGAGATCCACGAGAATGCATCAGATTTTCCTTCAAAGTGCCAACAGGGTGGGAGAATTTAGGGAATCTGAGGATTGGTCGCCGCTGCTACTGCTGCGGCGGTGGGCTTTGGAGCAGGACTCCGATGATGGCGAAGGACTCTCGGGCTCAAGCATGATGGGGTAGGTGAAGATGAGGCTTGGGTTGTTTGGGGTGGACAGCGGGGTGGAAGCTGCCACCAAGGGTGTGTTGAGGCTGTCTCCATCAGTACAATACATGCCGCCACCTAGGCAGATGGGCTTGATGACTGAACGCTGGATTTTTCCTTCTTCCTCATCGTCGTGTTCTTCCAAAGGCTCCTGTTTAACCACCACTGGGTTGAGGGTACTCATCGGTCCCCGGGGACCCAGGATGGAGCGCATGGTCAGAGGAAGGGGCGTACACTGCTGGGAATGCGAGCTCTGATGGCGATCTTCAGGGGGCAGTTTGCACATGGGGCTGTGGGCCACCAACATGAATTCCAACTTGTCCTTTTCCTTCTGCAGGATCTCGATTTCTTTCTGCAGGTCAGCCTTCTCCTCCTCTAACTTCTCGGTCTCCTTGAATGAAAACAAGAAATGCAATGAATGATCATGCTGCATTTTGTCTGATGTTCATTTGGACTGTGAAATGATTTACAGTAGTAATCATGCTGGTAATTGTTGATTCAACATTGAAGCATTTTAACAAGTTTGACAAGGTCGCTGTCAGGGTGTTGTTAGGTGTTCTGGGTGGTCTTAGTCAAAAGACCTCACCCCCAAAATTTCTACGATATTCTGGTCTTTAACGTAAGCCTGTATTACGGCTGCACAATTAATCGAAATAAAATCAAAATAGCTATATGGATTAGTGCGATTATAATGTTGAAAAAAGCTGCTATTTAATTGAATATAACTATATATATTTTTAATTAGTAGTAATAATCAATTATAACGTCTAATTACTATTATTTTAATAATAATAGTAATTATGATACATAAATAAATAACAATGATAAACATATTTATTTTATTGGATTTTATTTGAGTGTAAAGCCAATTTCATCCACTCTGAACTCTCGGAGCACTTTGGCACTATAAAAAACACACCCATCCATAAACACGAGCAATTATTTCCCACATAAATTTGAGCTGTTCACATTTCTTTGTTAAACAGAACGCTTGACACAGCACCACCTATTTTAAAACAACTGTCAAAGCCTCCAGAAGGTAAACACACTGACATAACAATGTGGCTAGACAGTCATAGGTAAACCGTAGCTGTCTTTGACTCATTCATATGGCTATGAGGAAGAAGGAAACTCAAAGCAAAACAAATGCTTAATTTACAAAGAAAGAAACAGTGCATTTGAAAAAAAGGGCATAGTTATTGTCACAAAAGATACAGTTCCTTATTTGGTAATGAATGAAGCGGAGAAATGGGTGGAAGGGAAGAGGGAAGATAGCAGTGTGGGGGGTTTGATGGTTAGCTGCGGTTTCCTCTTCGAACAATGTCAGACGTTTGCTTCCCTCTAACCCCCTGTAGTACATTCCTGCCTCGTGTTTCAGGTCTGACAGCCTGAGAGATGCCATTATAAAGCTAAGTAGTCCAATTACAGCCAGAATTGTCTGGCACTCGGGGCATTCCCATATCTGCCAGACAACACTGGTCTTTTTTTCAGCTTTTAACCACTGAGAATTGTGTGAAAATAAGTCTTGAGATAGTTGTGGACATTTCGTACGAGGTATTTATACGTGCTATTTTAGAGATTTTTTCTTTTTTCTTTTGTAACATCAGTAGAAAACTCACCCCTTGCAGCATGTCGGTCAGTTCTCTTCTGCGGTTCCGGCATTTAGCTGCAGCTAGTTTGTTTCTTTCTCGTCTAACTCTCCGTTTTTCTTCTTCCTCTGGGGCGAGCTGCACACAACAGGAGGAGTGAGCACTTACACAAGTAAACTTCTGCAGTTGTTTGTGAGAAATCATTCTTACGATGTAACATATCTATTCATATTATACTTATACAATAAAGATTGTTTCAATGCAGCTTCACAGTAGAACAAAAGAAAAGAATAGTATTAATGTTGCAAACTTCTGCTGTCATGCAGCTCTAAAAAAATGTTATTCAATAATTCAGCAGATGTTAGCACATTAAAATGTGTTTTTGTACTATACGTTAAAACTGGTTTTGTTGCTTTGATTTTGTGTGTGTGCTTCAAAGAAGAAAAATGTTAACACTAACCTGCTCGTCTCGCTTGCGTCGCCCACGTGTGTCGCCGATAGACCGGATGACCCCGGGCCGTGTGAGGGCTGTGTGGCCGAGGAGGCTCGGGCCACTAGACACAGACAGGCCGTACGGGTGAGGCCGGGAATATGGATTAGACATGGATGTGATTACTGTGGGCTGAACCATCCACTGCAGGTCCTGACTGGTCGTTATGGCATTAATTGTTGGAATAAAGGCACTGCTAGAGCCAGGCATGTCTACTCTGTACTTCTGTGGGGGGGAGGAAAAAAGTATTAAGAGATTGAAGTGTAAATATTCATGAAGAAACTAGACTTTCATTGTACGTAAAAAATTGTATGATTCATTTTTAGTCTTTGTTACTGCAGTTGTTTTACAAATTCCCATCATCACAGATTAATGAATCATTCCACGTGCTACCTCGCTCTGCGCCCTCTTGACTGCTTGACCCCCAGAGCGACAGGGTGACACACACACACACACACGGTGAATCATGGGAAAGCCCACAACCCTCCCTGACAGAAGCCGACCAGGGTTAGATAATAGCCTCTGTGATGCAACGGGCAACGGGTTCACTGCTGTGTGGGTATACAACAGATTTTTGTTTTTTTGAAACGACCTGTGCCTTATAAGAAGCGAATATGACTTATAACAAGTACATTGTTTATAAGACAACTGAAATAAAATGTTTTAATTATGAATATTTGTTAATGCTGTAATAACATTCTCAACTATTTTATTTGCTAATTAACAATAATTAATATTGAAGTCCCACTTTATACTAGGTTTTTAACTACTATGTACTTACATACAATTTTCTTTTAGGTACAATGTACCTAGACAGGCTCCATCACTTCATGTTTTAAAATCTAGCCTAAAAACCCATTTTTATAGCTTGCCATTTAATGCTATGTGAGAGCTGCTTTCTTTTATTGTATTGTTGACTGTTTGTATCATTGATATTTGTATTCTTTTTTTGTGTGCACTTGCTGTTTTAAAAAAAAAAGTGCTTTATGAATAAACTTTGACATTGACTTTGTCTATTCTGTACACGTTGAATTGCAAAACAAGTTGGCTGGTAATTTCAAGGTAGGATACAGTTAAGGTTAGGGACAGGTTTGGTGGTATGGCTAGGTTTAAGGATGGGTTAAGGTGTAGGGGTAGAGTCAACAGTGTAATTACAAAAGTAACTACAGAAATTAATTACAGATTTTTTTTTTAAATATATAATTACAATGTAAAAACATGTATGTACACATGTATCCAATGATTAATTTAAATGTAAGTGCATAGCAGTTAATGACACTTAATACAAAAGTGGGTCCATTACCCAAATATTAACAGTAAAATGTACCCAAATTATATGTTTTTTTTTACATATGTAGCCTGACATGCCGCATCACGTTATAAGACCGCTCTTTATTCCAGACATCCGGGGAACTGAACTGGGATTCCGTGCCAGCACATTCCATCCACCAAATTCCAGTACATTCACACATTCCTGGTGGGATTTGAACGGGAAACTGACTTAATGTGACGGACTATGTTTACCACAGTGGGAATGAATTACGGGAAGCTAAGTGTTGTTTAAAACGATAACAACAGTTGCGCGCGCGCAACAACAACAACAAAAAAGACAACATAGCTAAACGTCAATGTTCGTAAGTCTCACTTTAGTGCTTTATTTTCACTAAAAGTACAGTGTTTCTTTAACGTGGTAGAGAAGAGTTTTCCACATCTAAGTATTGCGAAAGACTCCACTGACGTCCAAGAACTGTCGCGTTTGTTTCTCACTGAATCCATCACAAGCGAGCGGTAAGGTCAACATATAAACATCTTATTGAATCATTCTATGAAGCTCTGTTGTGTTGCGAAATCATTTCTCCCGAAATGCACCCGAATTTCCCCCTTCACTTGATTTCCCCCCAGAAGGAGTCAAAACAGCACAGGCTGGAATCGAAAGGGGGCAGTTTATTCCACGAGTTTAGTAGATACAATAGCAACCCTACAAGACGATGATGCTCGGAAATGTCTGACAGGGGCTGTTAAACGTACCAGATGCGATTAAAATACTAGAGTCTGGGGAACAAGGTGCCAGACAGGTGCACAAGCTCCCCATTCATTACACTGAGCTCAAGAAAGGAAAATTCTCACAAAATTGGCTAAAACTCCCAAGTGAAGCAGAGCTGCTAGTGGAACTTGATTTGAAACATGATACAGAATGCATTTTAATGTAATACTCCTGGTATAAGCATAGACAGATAACTATGATAAATGATAGGCCTATCACAACTGTGATTAACTTTATACAAGAATCAAATAAAGTGTGATCCCACACACACACACACACACACACTCCCACTGCTTTTCTTTCAACATAGACCATTTTGCGAGTCTGTGAGCTTTTTTTCCTCCATGCAGAAATGTGCATATATCCTATCATCCCCATCACTCGTATGTATTAAAAACATGCATTTACTGAAGTATAATGGTTTAACTGGCACTGACTGCAAACGGTCTATTGCAATTGAATTTAATTCATCATATCAGCCAGTTCTAGTCAGTTCTTTGAAATGTATAACCCAAAGTCTGTGTAAAATGTCTTCATTTAGGTATAGGCTACAAGTCCTCACTGGTCTCATCTTTTTAAATGTCCATGTACTCGATATCCGAATAGGCTTAATTTTCTCCACCCTAAACTTTACAGTTTAAAGGTGTTTAAAAAAAACTAATTTTCAGATTAACAGATGTAACATTTTCTGAAGGTTAGTAAAGTGCAATAGCTATGTGGAAGTCCCGGAAGTGTCGCATCCTGTGGCCACTACGTACGCGCTCTCCGTGGGTTTATTTCGCATTACGCACGCCACCCACGCCACTTGCTACCCTTATCTGACGAGATTCCTAATTCCACGGAAACATAATGTCTTAACAAAACGATAGACTGCAAGACGGGGGGAAAAAATCACCTCTGGGAATAATTTAGTAAGAGAGCGAGACGGATTCCTCTGATAGGATTTTACGCATTACGCATGCATAAAAGCTATATGCGTCCTTCGTGCTCTTTCTTTTGAAAATAATGATCAGAAACGATTCACTGCATGGTTTTACTAGCAATTTATAAAAACAGTCATATAAAAATGTAGCATACGCTGTATTCTTAAGGTATGCATTAAGTTTTAAGCACTTATAACACTTGAGTTGCTTTTCTATCAAAAGCATGCACACTGAATGTACCTCAGTTGGCATCATGAAAACGACAGCCAATGACTCTTACTGCCAGTCCTCGATGTATAGAAAGTTTGGTCACTTTTTACGTGACAGTTTAAGCTATTGACTGTAAAATGTGCTCATGTGTTCTTATTTAGCAGAGCTGCTTCTAATTACATATTGCCATTGCTGTTTATTGCAACAACACGTATGTGTAATGTAGTATGAGCACTGTGATGTAAAGAGTGCGAAGCGAATATGCTGCGGATAAATGCATATCGTTACCTGTTAGTTTGGAATTAATTATGATAACATGGTAGGACTAGTTATGCAAACCAGAAGTGTGTAAACATGTGAAGTGTGATCAGGATACGGACACTCAAGCGCATCAGTGGGCTACCTGGTAGCTGGAGGCGGGGATGGGGCTGGTGTCCGGGTGCGCCGGTGAGCTGCTGCTGCCGCGGGAGGATGTGTCGTATGTCCCGGTGTAATCCTGATACATGGTCCAGGGAAAGAGGAGGAGATTTCAGAAGGCTGATAATGAATTCCCACACGATCAGAGTGCCTTCAGTGGCAAAAAGCGCTTCCAAGCAAATCGATTCCTTTATACCTAATCTAAAAATGATATCCAAAATACTTCTTAATGGTCAGTATGTTAAATCCAGGCGTTTCTATGCAATATTATATTATTAGAGAAGTCAACGCTCTCAAATTCCGTAGTCTCTTTAACAGTCCAATAAATAGATGTTCCCGTGTGAACCTAATGCTTAAAAAACCATCGCTACTGAACCAGATGAAAATAAAGAAAAAAAAATATCAGTGAAGCACCTACTTTTCTTTAGTGAACTCGGTGCTCTCGTAGGTTTAGTCCTGTCCCTATAGCAGTGACTCACGGCAGCGATGAGTGTACCGCTCTGGACTTTGCTGAACTGATTTTGGCGACTAAGTGAACTTCAGTGTCTTCTGCAGGTCACGTCGTTAGATGACTCACTTCAATGGCACTACTCTACTTCGTAGCTCCGCTTATCAACGCCAACCTGCGTCTACGCGTCACAGCCTTGATACGTCGCGCAGAAAAATAGGGGTGCATCTTGTATATTTTATAGAATTATGCCAGACGTTACTATCCAATGAAACGTTTATGAAAGAATATGGGTAAGCTCTAAATGATACAACCAGCAATTCAGCAAAGGAGAAGTGTCTAAAATGCTTTAATTTGCTTTAAAACTTGTTTGCTTGTCAGGGCCACCCCCATTTCACAGTTGGTTTCGACCATTGACGCACGTTTCCAAAAATGGGCAGTTGCGTCAGAGCACACGCTCATGGGTTTCCTTGGTAAAGGCACTGTAAAGACGCGTCAAGGATTCCCTCCCCTCTTTCCCCACCTTTAACTTTCACTGGGTGGTCTCTGTGGACACATGCCCTTGGGTCCTGCACGGAACACAGGGGAGAGTGTGTAGGGGTGGTCGTGGGTTTCTTAGAAAGTGGCCGCAGAGCATAATTTTGCGGTCAGCATGGTGCTCTCGGAACCGTGTGTGCGCATGCATGCATGTCTTACATTTCGCGTCTTGTCACCATGGAGTTTTAGTTTTTCACTTTTTCGGGAGTTCGAAACACAAGATTCTTAATTCAGTCGTTTTTTTTTTGTATTATTCAATTCTTTATTTCATCATAACCGTTTTTCAACCTATTTACACAATTCTTCAGACATAATTTTGAATCCAGACTGGATCAAACTCATCCTTATAGCCAGGAGAACAGATAGATGTCGCCAGTGGTACAATAAAGTTGATTGGGGGAGGGGAATTATCAATTGTATAATACAATTTTCAACACTTTTTAGAGTTGAGTTTTACAGTCCTACGTGGAGTCCATCCTATTTCGTGTAGGAATCGGATATTATATATATATATATATATATATCCTCCTGAGACCCAGCTATGGAGTTTTTGCCTCTGTAGTGGACATTGTATTTGAGTGAATTTCTCTGAGACCTCACATGTCACAGTTTTAAGTCTGGAGTCCTGTACAGAGCACATTTAGGGCTTTTCAGAGATACCTAATGATTGGATGTTTCACTGTGACCACTCCCTCTCCTTGGTTTTTAAAAATGGCTGACATTAATTTAGTGATAAAATTGTACATCCTTATGGAAATATGATAATATTTTGTAATTACAATTCAAATCTGATTAATTTTAAAATTGTTTGTCATAAATCAACTTCTCAGGGAAATGTTATGGGGTTTCAAATCAAAATATGACTTCCTGTTATGAAACAGGACATCATTTCATACATGTCCACTGTAGAGGACACCAGGACTAAAAGCATGTTTATTATACATTTTGGGAGACAAAAGAATTGAATAGGAAAACAAATTATATATCAATATTCTTATGAAATATTAGATATTATTATGAAAATCTGGCCAATTACTACTCCCATTATTACACTTCTTTTTTCAACATGCTGTCCCAACAGCACTTTAATATGCAAATTAGATACAGTGTATAGATAACATTGTGCTTAATGGGAAACCAGTTCATGGACTTTTTACACACATATTTTATAAAGCAAAATGGTATATCAAATAATTTTGTTATATATTTTATAACATAGTTGAGAACCATCCTTAAACAAAGTTAGGTATAAAAAAATCCTAAACCTAAAAATTGATTGGGGATTTAAAAAAAATTCCCATTGTTTTTGCCTTTTCTTGTCTATTCTTGTCATTTTATTTTTTTTTAGAAAAACTGAGTCCTGGTGTGCTCTACAGAGGACATAGCATAACATATAAATTTTAGAAATGCATGTTGTGGATTCATAACACATGGGTATGATATAGAGATGGTTTATATGAATGCATTTTACCACAGTACCAGTCGGGTTTGGAACCAATGTTGTTGTGGAAACATTGATTTTTAGTTTGACATGTCGCCATAATGCATTACCAGCGATAAACAGAAAACGTGGAAATATTTAAACACTTCACTGCAGTAATGCGTTTCAGATGAGTTCATTTTGAGGTCATTTATTTGGAGTTAAGTATGAAGATAACGTATGAGTGGACACCGGTGCACAAGACATACCCATAATTAGACTGATAGGTATACAAAATAATTGAATAAGCCATGTAAGCCAATAAGCCATTAATAATAATAATAATAATAATAATAATAAATATGCAATATACTACGATCAAACTAAATATACTGTACATTACATCTTATGATTTCTCTTTATATATGTGAAGGGCTGTCGTTTGTGTTTCTCTATACTTGTCTGCCATCTGATCTGATCTGATAGCTGAGCATTATGGAAAAGAACAAGAACAGAAGTTATTATTATTATTACGTTCCCGGTGTTGGTGAACGTCAGTCGTTGTCTGGCACAGTACTGATCTCTTCTTAGGAGTGGAAAGACAACAAGCGGAAATCATACAGTATGCACTATATGCACAGAAGCGTAACCACATAACTATGTGTAATTACTATGCCCTTACGAAAAGGTTACTATTTCAGATTACCATATTCATATACAATACTCCATCGCATGTGTCCATAAACCATAGCATTAACTTGGTCATGAGTGCAATATACTGATAAATGGATTAGCTCCTTAACCCAGATTTAATATGAGACGCATTCATTCTAATCTGATAACGTCTCTAGCCCTGGATGCACGTGGCGACTGGTACTGTAATATGAGGTAAATACAATGAAGGCACATGGGGAAGGTAAGGAGGCAATACAACTTTTACTGATGGTTTATCACGTATTTAACCTGTTAATTCAGCGCCCAACTCTCCATCACATGGGGAAAATTATGGGTGAGTTAAAACAGTAACAAAATGATATAACATTAAATAAAAATGTTCACATATTTTAATGACATAGCACAAACTGATTTACATACATTAATGCCAGAACAGTAGGCTATAGTTTCATGCTGGAATCCCCACAATTGTTGACTTTATGAAATATGGGGTAGATTTGGTGGCACTGAGTGCCTAATTAAGGTCACGATCTGCCTGGGAGTCTTGGGTGGAGCCCGATGAGCAAGTGTTTTGTGGATTACTGACTAGTGAAAACACCTGATCTAGATTAGTGGTTCACTGATCTCTTGAAATTTTATTTGCAGATTTCCCTGGCAACTAATGCAGACTTGTCTGAAACAGAACAGAGCTACAATGTGAACATTCCAGGCATGGAGGGAATACGAAACTCAGTGGACAGAAAATGAATTCATGCTGGAACATTTCCACTGATTAAGCCAATCGCATTACAGAGAAGTAGGAAACATGGCATTGGTTTGTCTATTGTACATAATCCCCCTGGTATATGAAAGACTTGCTCAGATGGTAAATGTAACACAATAATAATTCTCCAAGCAAAACCACAGCTGAAATTCAAACATCTGCTATTACAGCGCTTCATTGGTCATTTCTTGATTTCTTTACTAAGGCAATGATGAACAACTTCTTAACAAAGACAACATATTAAAACAAAAATATTCAATTATAAAAGAGTTCATGATTATTTTGAATGATCAGATGGTAAACACAGAAACGAGCATCTTCATAAATGACTAGGACAGCTGAGAACAATGAATGCTGTGTTAAAGACCCAAATTCTATAGCCAGGCAACTTCACGTTTAAATTCTTGTTTATGTTGTGAATGGAGAAATCCTAGAGACTCGTCTACAATGACTCAGAGTTGTCACGGAATGGAGCATTCTTTATTTACTTATATTTCCACCACCTGCTGTCTATAACCAAGTGGCCAGGATCTATTTCGGCAAGGAAGAATGTGATGTATGCAAGCATTCTTTACGATATCTTGCCCCCCTGTTACCGAAAAACGTTCTTCCTTTAGAAAACTGACAAGAAGTGTTTATGCTTGCCAGAAGTCTTAAAAAAACTGTTTTTGCTGGCAGTATGCTAAATTCACTCATACACAAACTGCGGCTTTGACCGTGGTTCTGAAAGAGTTATTACTACAAGAATCAGTTCCTGCTACAATGGAAGGAAATGCGTCACAAACGTGTGGCTGACTCAAAACAAAGAGCGACAAAATGAAGTGATGGCCACTTAAAAACAAAGAGGGGGTTGGAAAGCAAGAGCGTATTAGTGGAAGAACTTAACAAATGGAGAAGAAATAGGAGAGGTGGGGGGACAGAAAGATATAAAATTGGTCTTTACTGCAAGAGGGTCTTCCCGTAAACCTTCGGTGTTTGGCCAAGGCAAATATGACCCATCACAGTGAGCTTTTATTCCAAGAGGGCAGCAGAGGAAAGATGCAGAGGTATATCTGAGAGTTTTAACATCCTCTACCCCCTTGTTTTGCGAATTATTTTGTCAGGTGCCGCTTTCGGAGTCTTTTTCATCACAGGCGCTGAACACAATGGAGAAAATTGTTTCGGAACGCAAGGTTGCTCTTTTAGATCTACGTAAAGTATGAATGCGCGTGGAGATGAGGAGCAAGCCTCTCGGAATGCTCATTTATTTGTTTAGAGCACAAGTGTGGACCCAGTGTTGGGCTGTCTGATCTGATAAGGTTCCTGTAAAACTGTCTGCATCTCGTTGATGTGTCTTAAGTGCTATAAACATGGAATGTGACAGTACATAAATAGGACAAATACACCACACTGTAAAAAATGGCTGTGAATTTAATGGTAAAAGACTGTAAAAATGCTACAGTAAAAACCTGTTAAATGGTTAACGGTAAATTCCCCTACTATATACGGTGAAAAACTGTATTGGACATTACATGTATTGGACATTAATTTTACGGTAGTATACCGTTTTTGGAAGTGAAAAAGACCGTATAATTTACAGTGAATAACCGTAAATTGACATTCCCAGAATTCCCTGCATTACATTTCAAATTTGATGTTTTTTTGTTGAAATAACTATGTTTCTTCTTAGTTTTTTCTTATCAGTTTTGTATATTAGGGTTGTGTGTTACACCTAATGTTGTTAAATGAATGTTT